TTGAGTGAAAAATGTGACAGGAACAAAACTCCTCCCCCACAGAACTCGCTCCGAGGGATAAATAAAGTTTATTAGCGGCTGGACATGTGATCGAGCTGCATAACTTCTCCTAACGATGCAGAATAATGTCACTGAAACTGTTTGATGTTGAAACCCTTCTCCTCGGTACAGAAGCTTTCCTCTCTGCTGCAGAAAAAAATGCAGCCTGCAGGCAGAAAATCACATGTTCAGGGTTTTTTTTTTTTCACTTTTCCCCCAAAGAAACTCTGTTTAACCCTCTGAGCTCCGAGCAGTTTGTCCTTGAGAGCAGTCAAAGCCAACAACAAGCCTCTCTGCTCGATAAAAACATCCTCACACCAGAGACCAGTGCTGCCTGTAAATGTGTTCATGACTTGTTCTTCTGCACATCAGTCACACTTTTACCTCCACTCTGAGCCTCAGACACCTGGTCAGCTCCGCCAGACGTCCACCTGTGAGGTAAAGCTCACCTCCGTCGTGTCCGACAGGTGCGACGCCCGACAGTCAATATTTACAGACGTGATCTTAAAGGTCGCCGCTGATGTCACTTGACATTTCGCTCTCGATGCACTTTAGCTGATAAATTACGGCGGAGAAACGAGGCTTCACACGTTTTCACAAATGCTTTGTGAGATGAATTATTAGAGAGAAATCTGAGAAATGTTTCGAGCTCCAGCCGGTGTGATAATTTGTGAGGTGCTACAGCAGACTCTGGTGTTGGTGGCAGCTCGTCCTCGCAGATCACAAGGAACCTGCTGCAGGACTCGGATTTGTGAGGCTCTGATTCTGATTTTTTTCCTCCTCAGTCTGTCAGTATTGTTCTTTAATCCGATGTTAACGCAGAAATCGACTCTGAATTGAGTCAAACCTCCGTCATGCAGGTTTGCTGTGGAGTTTAACGACTTCATCAGACAGCTGAACACCTCAGCCAGTCGTTTCTCTCTCTGGGTTTCCCCCGACTGACTTTCTGTCTGAATCACATCCTAACATGTCAGTGAAAGGCTGACAGAGTGACTCCTCTCATCAATTAAAGCCGCCGCTCTCCACAGCGACACAGTTCCTGATGTAGATGGAAGCAAAAAGACAGAAAGTGGAGCATGAATAAAACTCCTCCACCGGCTGGGTCGAGTTTTCCACTAAATTTCTACTTAATATTTCTCAAAAATCGTCATTTGAAGAGTCAGTTTCATGTCATACGAGACATTAAGGCGCAGATTCAGATAAAAAGTAGTTTTTGTTTTCACAACACGTCATATTGGAGGTTAGAACAGAAGTGAGTCCACCCTGTCAATATCACTTAAATGTCAAATGATTCAAAACTGAGTCACGTCTCAATAACTGCTCTGTTTCTGGGTTGAACAACAGAGTTTTACCTCGAATGAACAATCACACACAAACTCTTTATAAACGCTCTGCTGAAAATTCAGCACCAAAGTAGAAACTAAACGAAACCAAAGTGAGTCCAGCTGTGGTCTCCATCAGTCCACCTGCATGGACATGGTTCTACAATGAGCTGAGAACAGCAGAACCTTCTCAGTTCTGGACCTGTGGACTGTGTCTATCTATGTCTGCATCATGGCTCCACATGGAGAAGACCTGAACAGAGGAGGAGAAACATCTGATGCTCAAAATTGCTGAAAATGTGTCTAAAATGGCTTAAAATTTGTCCAAAACAAGTTAAAAAAACAAAAAACAAAAAACATATCTAAATGGCCCAAAATGTGTCCAAAATTACTACAACTGGTCCCCACATGACTCATGATTTACCCCGAATGACAGGATTTGTTCAAAACAAATAAAAATGGTCCAGACTTTAAATTTAATCTCACAACTAAACTTCCACATCAAAGTTCACCAAAGAACATGAACAGAAGCCTGATGGATGCTGGAGAACATCCTCTGGTCAGATGGAGATCAATGTGTTGGGCTCAGATGGAGTCCAGATGTTTGGTG